GCAAAGATGTTGAAGAACTAACAGAGAGATTGGACACGTTTGTTTGTAAGGCATGACACCACTCATGTACTGTGTGGAGCCGCTCTTCAGAGTCCCGTCCACTGCCTACGTGACGTTGATTTGCGTCGTGCTCTCAGTCTGGGACAACCTCAGAAAATGCTGACCTCTCAGAGCAACAAGGTTGGCAAACACGTCGTTTGTGTTTTACTGCGGCAAAAGGGGGAAACCTAGCAAAGCAGTATAAAGCGATCATAAAATTGGGTCTTGAAATTGGCATGACCTGCGAGCCGTCACGTGTTTGAGCCACTGATGTCGCGAACCGTTTCATTTGCAACATTCCAAGTTGAACATTTTCACGGGCACCATCTCAACGCTTGCGATCGCTGTCCTGGAGCCGCAAACCTCAGTTTTGCTTGTTGTCGAAAGATGTTGCTTGAGTTCACAGAATTCAGAGGATGTTCTTTTAAGGGCCATGGGCTATGTTTCACCCAACACATGTGTGATCATGTGTGCACGAGATGGTGTGGACAGTATATACTTTGAAACTTCATGTGTTGCACACGATTTTTCATGAAAGGTCAAGCCCGTAGCAGGAAATCTAAGGACAGGCAAACTGATGTGATGTTCCTGATACGGTGAACTGTAATGCATGCTCAATATCAATTTGCGACGGTAAACAAACCTGTTTGGTTTTACTTAATGGCGACACCGGATTAAAACTCCCTCCTTGACGGTTTGCGAGGAAAGGCAGAAAGTAGGATTCTTGCAAAATAATTTGGGGGTGGTCAATCAGGAGAGATCACCGAGACTAAATTGTAAATCTCTTCGGCCTTTAGGACCCATAGAAAGCGGGGATGAGGATGAGGTGGGGCACAGGAATGGAAGCTATAATGGGAAGACTTTGTGGCCATAGAGGAGAGAACGGGATTACATCAGGAAGGAATTGCATGAGCATGAGAAGCAAATGAGGAAGGATGGGATTGGAAAGCAACAGAAGAACATGAAGGTAAGGACCTAGGTGGCTATGGGGTTGAAGTCTTTGTGCGGAAGGATGTGGAGAAGCTAGGACGGTGGACGGGGGAGATTGGGCTGAGCCGAGTGTGAAGGACAATAGAAGCCTGTGGGAAATGTTTTGGGCGGTTGATAATTCTTTCCCACACCCAGGCGGGGCCAAATTAAATGTGGAGCTATAAATAAAAGTTTGGGAAAGTCCTTTGTCGGGTAGAGTCTTATAACTTATAAAGAACTCTAGTAAAGGATTTCTGGGAAAGGTTTTTGAGATTTGGGTTGATTCTTAGTGATTTGTGGCCAGGTCAAGTGCAATGACATGAGGTTTTTTGGAAGAGATGGGTCCGGGAAGCATTGAGATGCATTAGAGGTGGTGGGGAAGGAGAATTTGGTGGGAAGGGTGAGGCTGAAGATATGGAAGAAGAGTCCTTGGAAGAGACGCAGGACCCCAGAATGCCCGGTGAGAATCAGACTACACCTGGGCAGTTGGTGACGCACTAGGAATTGAATTGGGAAGTTGTTTTTGTATTTGTAGATGAGGGATTGGTGGAGTTAGAGTGGTTGAAGAAATCCAAGAAAAGCAGCTAGCAAAGGACCAAACTAATTGGGGGTCTCTGTCAAAAAAGATCAAATGAGGGCTGGGAGAATTAGTGAGGGATGGGGTGCCTACACTCAACCATTTTCCATTCTTTAAGTGTGCCTGCATGTGCCTGACATCGACAGGGCGTTTGACCAACAAACTGAGCTTCTGTGGCGGCCTCGATTGCAGTTGCTCATTGCATTGATTGGAGACAGAGCAGATTGGACAGAGCAGACCAAGCAGTGCAATTGGTTTTTGAGTTATTGAATTTGGGATTTGTTTGGCCAAGGCATATACTGGAGTTTGGCAGAGCAGTGTTTCCGTGGGTTGAGTCCTTGTGAAAATCCTGTTTTGCCACGACTACTGCCAGGCCTTGCTGTGTGTTCTACCCCAAACCTTATTTGGCAAAGGTCCATCGATTTATCTCGTACTTCTTGGAAGTGAAGCTCACACTTAGGTCCTTCCAAACTATTGCCTTGGTCGTTGGCTCGGTGTGACCAAAGCATGGTAGCAGCTGAGGCAGATCCTCAAAAGAAGCTCTTGAAACCGCTGATCCTTGCGCTTTCAGGCCGAAGCCTTTTGGCCATTGCCGTAAATCACTATGCCAACTTTGCCTACACAGAGTTTGGCGCCGCTTCCCTAGTTTTTGTCCACTGATGGTCCTGTCGCTCAGGACATTCTCGTGAAAGGAATGTCACACGACAGTCTCGTGGAGAGTCCTTGGACCGCTTCCTTTGAGTTCACATCTATATAATAGTCATAGTGCCAACTTATTCTGCGAAACAATACGGCCAAGTAGCCTTCCACTGAGTGCCGAGGTTTGTGTTCACGACAATGGCAATGTGTGCTGGAAAAACCCGTTGAGCCTACTACCAAGCCTGTTGTGAAAGATTTGCATTGTTTATGGATCCTCACCAATGAAGTGTTTTGCCGTGTTGCGCCAGGCTGGGATGTGACAGGGGAATACCTCACCCAGCTGGCCGTTATGGTGTTTATCTCGGAGATTGTGCGATCAGGATTGCATTGCTGACATGCTGAAACAAGCTCATTGTGTCTCCTCAAGACGCCAAAAGATATTGGTGGGTGGGAATTACACGAGAGAGACTACAAGGACCCCAGGAAGATGATGTGTCGTGTGGCAAGGTTCAGTAATGTTCAGTACATTATAGCCTTTGTGCTTCCACAACTTATTTGGGGTTAAATAGATATAATAATGGATAGTTGAAGTTGACCACGGTGTTTATTTCTTATGCTCCTGTTTGCAATGGTTTTAGACGCATGCACGTTGCTTTCCGTAACCGGCCTCCAAAACCTGTTGTTTAGAGATGTCCACCCGTTGTTTTTGCCGTGTCGGTATGCCGTTTTGCAGCCTTGAGGTGCCGGTGTGGTTTCTTTTGTCGAAGTCTCAGACTGTAGAGTCTGTGGAGCGTTTGGCAGTAAGTGGCTCGGTACAAGCACTCCTTTCATCAATCTAGCCCACTAGATACTAGCGTGTTTTGTTTGTGTATCTAAATTGTAGTTTCAGCAGAAGTGCCTCCTCCTAGACGGATTCTGCTCTAACTGAAGCACGTCAAACCGCTTGTAGTTCAAAGTTCAATGTTTTTTCCCCAAACAGTTTACTAATGGGGTTCTATCTTAGAAAACAAGAGCTGGCCACACTGACTCGCCGCGCCCCTGAAGCTTTTTGGCCAGGCTCTGTGTCCGGGTCTTGTCCTCCTCTTGTCCTTGTCTTGGCCCCGCCCCTG